ATCCTATTCATTACCATGATCTACCTCCTCAAACACCTTAGTGAAAAAAGTTAGTAAATTCGTAAGACAGGAACGCCCCTTTGTAAAACCGTGTTGAGATTCATTAATCAATCTGTGCCTGTCAAGATGGCTACGAATTGCTTCGGCAATAATTGATTCCATAAATTTTCCCACTATGGAGGTAAGGCTTATTGGTCTATAGTTCGAAGCCAAGGACCTGTCACCTGCCTTGTAAATAGGTATTACATGTTATTTTCCACTTATCAGGCACTATGCCAGTTTGTAGTGATATGTTGAAAAGATTAGCCAAAGGTATGCTAAGTTCCTCTTTACATTCCTTTAACACCCTTGCAAACAGTTCATCAGGACCTGGGGATTTGTTAGGTTTTAATTTCTCTATTTGTCTGAGTACCATGTCACTAGTTACTGCAATTGTACATTGTTTATTATCGTCCAGTTCTACATAATCTATTATTTCAGGATTTTCGCTAGTATTTTCCTGGGTGAAAACTGAGAAGAAGTATTGAGAATTTCACACATATCCTTATCACTGTCAGTGATCTGACCAGAGTTACTCTTAAGTGGGCCAATCTTGTCCCTTATCTTACTTCTGTATACCTGAAAGAACCCTTTTGGGTAGTCTTTGAATCCCTTGCGACCTTAGCCTCATAATCCCTTTTTGCTTTTCTTATTCCTTTATTTATTTCTCTCTTTAATTGAATATAGTGATTTCTTAAGTGTCCATCCCCTCTTTTGATACGCCTATATATGCCTCTCTTTTGACCAGTGAGATGTTTTAATCTATTGTTCATCCATTTGGAATATTTTGTTAGATCTAATTTCCCTACTCGGAGCAAAAGTTGTCTGGGCAGCTAGAACTATGTTCTGAAAAACGTCATATTGGCAACCAAGATCACCTACCTGACCCATAGTCAGGACATCCCAATTTAGCCCACCCAGGTAATTTCTCAGTCCCATGAAATCGGCAAAGCGAAAATCTGGGACAGAAATTTGATTGAAGTTATCTGGGTAATTCCATGCTATATTGAAACTAAATGATTTGTGATCACTTTCCACAAGCTTATCATTAACCTCAAGATTATTAATTAGTGACTCTTTGTTGGCAAGAACCAAGTCAAGCAGATTGTTTCCTCTAGTTGGTTCTGTTACAAGCTGTTCTATAAAGCAATCCTGAACCGTATCTAGAAAATCATTAGACTCAAGACTTCCTGTCATATTGTTCCAATCAATTTGTCTAAAGTTAAAATCTCCCATTAACACAACATTTTCATATCTAGATGCCTTATGAATTTCGTTCCATAACAGCTTATTGCACTCCCTGTCAAGGTTTGGCTGCATATAAATTACACCCAAAATTAATTTGTCACGACTCTCGAGAAACTGTAGCCACTCCACCACCCTTCCTGTTGACCCTATCAGTGTGGAATAGTTTATAGCCCTGTATGTTGCATTCAGAAGGCATTTCTCTATCTTTCAGGTTGAACCAGGTCTCTGTTATACCAATAAAATCTATATTACCTGCACTTGCAAGTAATCTTAGCTCATCTATCTTATTTCTTAGACACCTACTATTTGCATAGTAAACCTTAAGGGAGCTAGTCACTAGTTGCCCTCTTTGTTGATTAACTGATTTGCCTTTACTAGCAACTTTATTTTGAATATTGTCTTTTAAACATATCACTGAGGTATACCGGTAATATCTGCTGTTTCCAACAATTATACTGCAGCCTGATTGTTTCCCACAAATACCCATACCTGTATAATCTATCAGTTTGAAGTCCTAGCAAGTCAACAATTACCCCCTCAATCGAATTGGCTAATGCAACCACTCCAGTTCCTGAGAGATGAACCCCTTCCCTTGCATACATATCATGTTTGCCATAGAATTTGTCCCAGTTATCAATGGGATTGCAAGTTCCTTGCAGTACCTATCTAGCCAGGAATTTATATCATTTGCCCTAGATATCCATTCATTGCTCACTCCCTTTCTAGGCAAGATGCTACATATGATTGGGATCCCTCCCTTAGACCTGACTTCTTCTATGGCTGACATGTACTTATCCAGCAGCTCCTGTCTCCTGCCCTTCTCAATGTCATTACCTCCAGCACTAAGATAATGGGCTTGTTCCCATTACCTGACATATTATCCAACCTGCTTGTGAAGGCTTACTCAGCCCTGTAACAACTTCAGACAGTATTACCAAAGCTGGCTCCTCAGGAAAATTAATGTATAGAAAAAGAATAAAAACTGACAAACATAAACACTTTATTATTTAGAAAATACAAAATAAATCCACTAGAATACAAGGCAGGCATGTACTTACAGTAGTCTTGGGAGCTGTGAGTCTAGTGATTTACTGTTTGACCAGAGCCCCACACGTCACCTTTCGGGAGGGGGGGGGGGGGAAGAGATAGCGGGAGCTAGACTGACCCTACCTTAACAAGTAGCCGGCAATGAAACTATTGTTACTATATCGCTACTATCTATTGAACTTTTCCCTCACACTGCTGTCACCAACACCAGCTCCTGGGAGGCACACCATCTGTCTGACCTTTCTATCTCTGTTACAAAAAGCATGGTCCATATATCTTACCCGAGAATCTCCTAAAATTAGAATATTCTTATCTTGATTAGCAGGGGAATCAGTGGTACCATCAACCTCACTAACCACTGAAGTACGCTCGTCCTGGAGAACAGAGAATCGATTTCCTGCCTTCACATCTTCTCTATTAACCCTCCTTATCTTCCTTCTTCCTGAACTGTGAACACTTGCCACTTAAAGCGGCTGCCACTCTCACTGCTGGTGACCATTTCCTCCTTACCAGCTAAATCCTTATCACACTCACTCCCAAACCTATCTATGTGAAGCTTCAGCCTCCTATTTTCCTCCTGAAGAAGTAGAACCTCCTTCTTCAACACTTGAACCTGAGATTCTAAAACACTACAACAAGCCATGGTGCTTGGTAACAGCCCACGCTAACTCCCAAGAGCTTAGGCAGGTATGACCACATTTGACCACTGACTTCAGCTTATGATCATGTTTTGACTTTTTGTTAGCAACTGCTTTACTATACGAAGTTCGTCATACAGCCATTAGCGTCCTTTCCAGATATTTTCTATCCTAACCTCTGATCCCCTCTCCACCTAGTTGTTTATTACCCCGGCACTATTTTCTGCCCCACAGCGCTGCATGACCCTTTTCGGTTTAGTGTTTTATTTGATTATAATAATAATAATGGTACAATAATAGTTCTGTAGGAGAGGATAATAGCGAACTACGCTTTTCATTAGTGTAAACCATAGACTTTAAATGCTGGAACAAAGTGATTTAAGACAGTCGAAATATGTCTGGAAACTAATTTTATAGTGAGTATTTTGAAAAGACTATGATATAAATTATATATTGCTAAGTACTGGAACAGAGTTTGAGATTGTTTAAAAGATGGAATGAAGCAAAACAGGTTAAATAACGTACATAAATCTTGGAAGGAAGCAATAATTATGGGATGCAAGGGTAGATATATTGACAACTAGATGCTAGGAACGTCCATTAAGTATATAAAATCAAGTTAAGTGCAAATGAGTTGAGGCGAGTAAACACTGGGATTTGCCTCAGTGATGGTGTGTGAGCACGATAATACAAATAAATTGATTCAATTAAATCATTTACCTGGCCACGAGTTAGTAGTTGTAAATTATTAGAACATAAGAAAGAAGAAACACAGCAACAGGCCTGCTGACCCATGCGGAGCAGGTCTATGTTCCCCCCGGATTAGCCCAATGAGCCCCCTGGATTAGCCCAATGAACCCCCGGATTAGCCCAATGAACCCCCCGGATTAGCCTAATGACTCATCCAGTCTGGTCACCTCCACTCAAGGATGGAGCACAGCACCAGACCCAGCAGCACAAGCTAGTCAGGTCCAACTCACAACCACCCACACCCACTCATGTGTTTATCTAACCTATTTTTAAAACTACACAACGTTTAAGCCTGAATAACTGTACTCGGGAGTTTGTTCCACTCATCCACAACTCTATTACCAAACCAGTGCTTTCCTATATCCTTCCTGAATCTGAATTTTTCCAACTTGAAACCATTGCTGTGAGTCCTGTCTTGGCTGGAAATTTTCAGCACGCTATTTACTTCCCCTTTATTTATTCCTGTTTTCCATTTATACACCTCGATCATATCCGCCCTAATTCTACGCCTTTCGAGAGAGTGCAGATTCAGGGCCCTCAGTCTATCCTCATAGGGAAGATTTCTGATACATGGGATCATCTTTGTCATCCTCCTCTGTACGTTTTCCAGAGCATTTATATCCATTGTGTAATATGGTGACCAGAACTGAGCAGCATAGTCTAAATGAGGCCTAACCAAGGATATATAGAGTTGAAGAACAACCTGAGGACTTTTATTATTTATACTTCTAGATATGAAGCCAAAAATTCTGTTAGTTTTTTTGCGAACACTAATGCACTGTTGTCTTGGTTTTAGGTTACTGCTAACCAGAACTCCTAAATCCTCTTCGCAATCAGTAGTATTAAGATCTACATTATTTAGTTTATAAGTGGCATGGTTATTTAACTGTCCAACATTTAGAACTTTGCATTTGTCAATATTAAACTGCATCTCCCGCTTCTCCGACCATTGCATCAGTCTATTCAAATCATCCTGGAGTGCTCTAGTGTCCTTATTAGAATGACTTGGACTGCCTATTTTGGTGTCATCAGCAAATTTCCTTATGTCGCTACTTATTCCCTCATCTATGTCGTTTATGTAAATTGTGAACAACAACGGGCCTAACACTGTCCCCTGAGGAACACCGCTTGTGACGTGCACCATTCTGATTTCTCCCCATTTATGCAAACTCTCTGCTATTTGTCAGCCATGCCTCTTCTGATTATGCCACTTCTGCTGTCATTTTATTTCCATTTTAGAGAGACGTATTATTATAGTAACTCTGGATAAATGTTCAGGTTCAGAAGTCTGATGATCCTGTTGGGAAGGAGGACCCGCTTACAGTGTTCACCTCTCCACTCAGCCAAACCTCAACAAGTGACCACATCAACTTTACAACCCTTCTGTACTCGGTCAGAATTATTGAGCGCATGATCAACCAGAACCTCTTCGACGAAATAATTCAAGGTATGACCAATCAAAACCAATGCAGTGACGTAATTCAAGGTATAATGAACGAAATCATTATAAGGTGTGTATAATTAGAATATTAATAACGTCATACAAAGCATAATTATCCTGACCTTACCACGGGTGGGGTTAGAACCCGCGATTAGAGTCACAAAACTCCAGACCGACGCGTTAGCCACTGGGCCAGCTGGCTACAATAAGATTCATCCAACTAGGTATATTTCTACACCATAGGAAGGTTAGCATAGGCACCACTGTGACCACAAATTCGTCTGTAAAAACTTGGCTGACGCGTCGATCTGGAAATTTGTGACTCTCTGACCGCGGGTTCTAACCCCACGAATGGTATGGTTTGTTTGCAATCGTATCATTAAAATTTCGTGAGTCATAAATCAGTAGTATTAAGATCTACATTATTTAGTTTGTATGTGGCATGGTTATTTACCTGTCCAACATTTAGAACTTTGCATTTGTCAATATTAAACTGCATCTGCCACTTCTCCGACCATTGCATCAGTCTATTCAAAGCATCCTGGAGTGCTCTAGTGTCCTCATTAGAATGAATTGGACGACCTATTTTGGTGTCATCAGCAAATTTGCTAATGTCGCTATTTATTCCCTCATCTATGTCGTTTATGTAAATTGTGAACAACAACGGGCCCAACACTGACCCCTGAGGAACAACGCTTGTGACGTGCCCCCATTCCTGGTATGTTCTACCTGCACAAGACCTGGTATGTCCTACCAGCACAAGACCTGGTATGTTCTACCTGCACAAGACCTGGTATGTTCTACCTGCACAAGACCTGGTATGTTCTACCAGCACAAGACCTGGTATGTCCTACCAGCACAAGACCTGGTATGTCCTACCAGCACAAGACCTGGTATGTCCTACCAGCACAAGACCTGGTATGTCCTACCAGCACAAGACCTGGTATGTCCTACCAGCACAAGACCTGGTATGTCCTACCTGCACAAGACCTGGTATGTTCTACCTGCACAAGACCTGGTATGTTCTACCTGCACAAGACCTGGTATGTCCTACCAGCACAAGACCTGGTATGTCCTACCAGCACAAGACCTGGTATGTCCTACCTGCACAAGACCTGGTATGTTCTACCTGCACAAGACCTGGTATGTTCTACCTGCACAAGACCTGGTATGTTCTACCTGCACAAGACCTGGTATGTTCTACCTGCACAAGACCTGGTAAGTTCTACCAGCACAAGACCTGGTATGTCCTACCAGCACAAGACCTGGTATGTCCTACCAGCACAAGACCTGGTATGTCCTACCAGCACAACACCTGGTATGTCCTACCAGCACAAGACCTGGTATGTCCTACCAGCACAAGACCTGGTATGTCCTACCAGCACAAGACCTGGTATGTCCTACCAGCACAAGACCTGGTATGTCCTACCAGCACAAGACCTGGTATGTCCTACCTGCACAAGACCTGGTATGTTCTACCTGCACAAGACCTGGTATGTTCTACCTGCACAAGACCTGGTATGTCCTACCAGCACAAGACCTGGTATGTCCTACCAGCACAAGACCTGGTATGTCCTACCTGCACAAGACCTGGTATGTTCTACCTGCACAAGACCTGGTATGTTCTACCTGCACAAGACCTGGTATGTTCTACCTGCACAAGACCTGGTATGTTCTACCTGCACAAGACCTGGTAAGTTCTACCAGCACAAGACCTGGTATGTCCTACCAGCACAAGACCTGGTATGTCCTACCAGCACAAGACCTGGTATGTCCTACCAGCACAAGACCTGGTATGTCCTACCAGCACAAGACCTGGTATGTCCTACCAGCACAAGACCTGGTATGTCCTACCAGCACAAGATCAGGTATGTCCTACCAGCACAAGACCTGGTATGTCCTACCAGCACAAGACCTGGTATGTCCTACCAGCACAAGACCTGGTATGTCCTACCAGCACAAGACCTGGTATGTCCTACCAGCACAAGACCTTGTATATCCTACCAGCACAAGACCTGGTATGTCCTACCTGCACAAGACCTGGTATGTTCTACCAGCACAAGACCTGGTATGTTCTACCTGCACAAAACCTGGTATGTTCTACCAGCACAAGACCTGGTAAGTTCTACCAGCACAAGACCTGGTATGTTCTACCTGCACAAGACCTGGTATGTCCTACCAGCACAAGACCTGGTATGTCCTACCAGCACAAGACCTGGTATGTCCTACCAGCACAAGACCTGGTATGTCCTACCAGCACATGACCTGGTATGTCCTTCCAGCACAAGACCTGGTATGTCCTTCCAGCACAAGACCTGGTATGTCCTACCAGCACAAGACCTGGTATGTCCTACCAGCACAAGACCTGGTATGTCCTACCAGCACAAGACCTGGTATGTCCTACCAGCACAAGACCTGGTAAGTTCTACCAGCACAAGACTTGGTAAGTTCTACCAGCACAAGACCTGGTATGTCCTACCAGCACAAGACCTGGTATGTCCTACCAGCACAAGACCTGGTATGTCCTACCAGCACAAGACCTGGTATGTTCTACCTGCACAAGACCTGGTATGTTCTCCCTGCACAAGACCTGGTATGTTCTACCAGCACAAGACCTGGTATGTTCTACCTGCACAAGACCTGGTAAATTCTACCAGCACAAGACCTGGTATGTTCTACCAGCACAAGACCTGGTATGTTCTACCTTCACAAGACCTGGTATGTCCTACCTGCACAAGACCTGGTATGTCCTACCAGCACAAGACCTGGTATGTCCTACCAGCACAAGACCTGGTATGTTCTACCTGCACAAGACCTGGTATGTTCTACCAGCACAAGACCTGGTATGTTCTACCTGCACAAAACCTGGTATGTTCTACCAGCACAAGACCTGGTATGTTCTACCAGCACAAGACCTGGTATGTTCTACCAGCATAAGACCTGGTATGTTCTACCAGCACAAGACCTGGTAAGTTCTACCAGCACAAGACCTGGTAAGTTCTACCAGCACAAGACCTGGTAAGTTCTACCAGCACAAGACCTGGTATGTTCTACCTGCACAAGACCTGGTATGTTCTACCTGCACAAGACCTGGTATGTTCTACCTGCACAAGACCTGGTATGTTCTACCTGCACAAGACCTGGTATGTTCTACCTGCACAAGACCTGGTATGTTCTACCAGCACAAGACCTGGTATATTCTACTAGAACAAGACATGGTATGTTCTACCTGCACAAGACATGGCATGTTCTACCAGCACAAGACATGATGCGTGCCAGGTCTCAGCAGTAAACAGTGATGAGTTAACATGCTCCAGACTTCAGGTACTGGGAGGACGGAAGCGACGATCATCGTCTGGAGGGTTCGTTGCTGCCTTTGTGGAAGCTGACCTGCCACAGGACCCGCAACATGTTGCTCACTGATGTCTGCTGGAGTCCCACCCACCCTGACCTCCTGGCTGCTGCCTACGCCCCAGGTTAAAAATTATACTAAGTTCAGTATAGTTTGGTTTCGTTGATTAGCTTTCATTTACAAGTTTTAGATTATCACATAACTGTTAAAGGCATTGTTGTTAAATTATGCAAATTTATCATAGGATACCAAAAACAGTCAGTAACTCTTTGTATGGGGGCTCTGGTGGCCTGGTGGTTAACGCTCTCGCTTCACACGGTGAGGGCCTGGGTTCGATTCCCAGCCAGAGTAGAAACATTGGACGTGTTTCTTTTCACCTGTTGTCTATGTTCCCCATCAGTAAAATGGGTACCTGGGTGTTAGTCGACTGGTGTGGGTCGCATCCTGGGACACTGACCTAAGGAGGCCTGGTCACAGACCGGGCCGCGGGGGCGTTGACCCCCGGAACTCTCTCCAGATAAACTCCAGATTTCCATTTTCGTCCTTATCAATTAATTAGGTACTTTTTTATGCCATTTCCATATTCAATATTGATACAGAAAACTGTATAAAAAATAAGACACCGTTGTGTCTTGTTAAACACTTTACTTCGCTTACGACACTCGCAGTGGATTATCTAAGCATTTACATAATTACTTCCAGATGTCGGTACTATTAAGAATCTATTATCCATAACTATCACTACAACAAATTTGATCTCATTATAGGTAAAAATATCATATGTGCCAGGGATGAACATGTTAATCTACATGTCGTTACTCTAATCTTTGCTTCCATTATCTCACACGAGACTGATGTACTCTCTGCACACTCATGGACGGATTCATTATTCGCACTACTTAAATAAAGAACAAACAGCGTTTGACTCGTATGTTTTAAGTTTACTCAGGCCAACATGATGATGGTATGTCTGCCAGAAATGTTTCCAGTAAACAAGATATTCACTTCTTCGCTTAAAACTTTCTTCAACAGAAGAAATCTCACAAATTATATGTCACTTACACAACCCATATAAGCTAGTGAAATTATTCTTTCCAGCACATAATCAGTGACTGATATAGACAATTTGTAAAGGGTGGGAGAGAGAATCAGAGAAGCTTATGTACATACAGTTAAAACAAGAGAGAAAAGTTAAAACACGAGAGGTGATTAAATAAGAGTGGAGTTAAAACAAGACTGAGGAGTGGAAGACTATTTGATTATTTTTATCATTCGACTGCAATGTGTATTCTCAAAAAAACAGACGTTACTTAGGTTGTTATTTCTTCCCTCAAGGCAACAAGAGCGTGCTTAATGTTGGTGGCCTCTTGTGTCTCTTCTCTCTGAAGAACCCTGGTGTTCCTGAACGATGTCTGCCCACATCCTGTGGTCTTACATCTGTACACTTCCATCCCACGGTGAGTTGTGGCCTCATTGTGGCCTAATCTTTGTGCACTTCCATCCCACGGTGAGTTGTGGCCTCATTGTGGCCTTATCTTTGTACACTTTCATCCCACGGTGAGTTGTGACCTCATTGCGGCCTTATCTTTGTACACGTCCCGCCCCTCCGGTGAGTTGTGTCCACATCCTTTGGTCCTGCCTCTGTACACTTGTTTTTCACGGTGATTTACGCCCACACTCTGGCCTTATCATTTGTTCATTTCCTTCCCCATGGTGGGTTGTGCTCACACTTATCGGCCTCGCCTCTGGACACTTCTTTCTACAGTAAGTTGTTCCTAGACCGTTACCTCACTTATCTACACTTCCACACCACAGTTGTGCTCACACATTTCAGCATTGCCTCAGTACACTTCCAACTCACAATGAGTTGTGTCCACACCTTCCCTGCTTGAATTAGTACCAAATGCTGTGGATTCTCCATTCACTCCAGTAAATTAATACGTTTATATTAAACATATTAAGTTTTAACTTAATAAAATAAAATTCTTGTTGAACATAAATTTTGAGAGTTATAAATATTACCTTGATAGTTTCAAAATTTGTTTCGGCAAGATTATTATTTAAAATAAATTGTGTAATTATCCATTCTTTATAACAAGTTTGTGTCAATAATAATTATATATATATATATATATATATAATATATATATATATATATATATATATATATATATATATATATAATATATATATATATATATATATATATATATATTATAATTTCATTAATGTTAATGTAAAAATTTTTTAATTTCCACGAAAAGAATCTTTGAAAACTTACCTAACCTTATTATAACAAGAGCAATATATTTTAGCCTAACCCAACTATATATATTTTAGATTTGTTTACAGTAATTTAATACTAAACAAACACAGTGAAATATATTTTTTTCGTTAGGTTCAGAATGATTTTGGCGAAATTATTGCATACACAAATTTTCACTTGTCCTATATGGCAAGATGAGCGTTGCTATTTAAGCCAAGATCGCAAGTTCTGCCTATTCGGCACGACATATACATATATATACATACATATATATACATATATATATATATATATATATATATATATATATATAATATATATATATATATATATATATATATATATGGCCTGGTGGTTAACGCTCTCGCTTCACACGGCGAGGGCCTGGGTTCGATTCCCAGCCAGAGTAGAAACATTGGACGTGTTTCTTTCCACCTGTTGTCTATGTTCCCCATCAGTAAAATGGGTACCTGGGTGTTAGTCGACTGGTGTGGGTCGCATCCTGGGACACTGACCTAAGGAGGCCTGGTCACAGACCGGGCCGCGGGGGCGTTGACCCCCGGAACTCTCTCCAGATAAACTCTCTCCAGATAAACACTGGCCGTCTCCCACCAAGGCAGGGTGGTCACCAAAGCAGGGTGGCTCGAAAAAGAAAAACTTTCACCATCATTCACTCCATCACTGTCTTGCCAGAAGGGTGCTTTACACTACAGTTTTTAAAATGCAACATTAACACCCCTCCTTCAGAGTGCAGGCACTGTACTTCCCATCTCCAGGACTCAAGTCCGGCCTGCCGGTTTCCCAGAACCCCTTCATAAATGTTACTTTGCTCACACTCCAACAGCACGTCAAGTTTTAAAAACCATGTGTCTCCATTCACTCCTATCGAACACGCTCACGCATTCCCGCTGGAAGTCAAGCCCCTCGCACACAAAACCTCCTTTACCCCTTCTCTCCAACCTTTCCTAGGCCGACCCCTAACCCCACCTTCCTTCCACTACAGACTGATACACTCTTGAAGTCATTCTGTTTCGCTCCATTCTCTCTACATGTCTGAACCACCTCAACAACCCTTCCTCAGCCCTCTGGACAACAGTTTTGGTAATCCCGCATCTCCTCCTAACTTCCAAACTACGAATTCTCTGCATTATATTCACACCACACATTGCCCTCAGACATAACATCTCCACTGCCTCCAGCCTTCTCCTCGCTGCAACATTCATCACCCATGCTTCACACCCATATAAGAGCGTATATAAATATATATATATATATATATATATATATATATATATATATATATATATATATATATATATATATATGCAAAACAAGCAATGTGAAAGAATAGAGAAATTCCAAGCGCCTTAATGACTACTCACATAATGTGAGTAGTCACGAATGCGTTTGGAATTTCTCTATTCTTTCACAGTGGTTGTTTTGCATATTCTGAAATCACCTGTTTACTGTGATCTTATTGCATATATATATATACATTTTATATATATATATATATACATATATATATATATATGTACGCAAACCGACGTACGAACCACATTATTATAATCAAAGTTAAAGCACTAAACCCGTGGGATTATACAGCACCTGTGGGGGGGGTGAAAGGTACTCAAGGAACCGAAGCACAGATCCAGTTCCCTAGATCAAGAGCCCCTCACCAGCGTCAAGGAATCTCTCTTGAGGGGGTACAAACCACAGCATGGTTGGTCAGGTACTGACTTTAGGTGCCTGTCCAGTGCCTTTTTGAAGATATCCAGGGGTCTATTGGCAATCCCCCTTATGTATGCTGGGAGGCAGTTGAACAGTCTTGGGTCCCGGACACTTTTCTCTTAGCGTACTCGTGGAACCTCTGCTTCTCATTGGGGAGATGTTGCATCTCCTGCCCAGTCTTTTGCTTTCGTAGAGAGTGATTTTCGTGTGCAAATTTGGTACTAGTTCCTCTAGAATTTTCCAAGCGTATATTATCATGTATCTTCTCGTGTGCGTTCCAAGGAATACAAATTTAGGTGCTTTATCATACTTATACCTGCCGTGGAAATTCTCTGTACATTCTCCAGGTCTGCAATTTCGACTGCTTTGAAAGGGGCCGTTAGTGTGCAACAGTATTCCAGCCTAGAGATAACAAGCTTGGCATCCCTTGTTTTGAAGGTTCTCATTATCCATCCTATCATTTTCCTAGCAGGTATAGTAGATACAGTGCTGTGATCTTTGAAAGTGAGATCCTGTGTTACAAATGGAAGGACGGAGAGGGGTGCTGAAAAGCCCACTCCACCCACTCGGCGAGAACGCACAATAATGCCGCGCTCCTCTCATCACAATTAGATGTTTCAGAATTAATGAACAGACTTCCTAATTCACAGAATTAGGTTACACTATCAGTAATTATCAGTGGTGTTCACTGTTCACTGGTTCTTGTCCACCTAGAGAAGTACTTCACTGTTTCATGGACATACCGGTTCCTAGAACAAATCCGTTCTCAAAGAACCAGAATGTCGTATTTAGGGGTATTCTAATATAGACTGACACCAATTAATCACACGTCATATAATCCCATGAGATTCCAGCCATTCCAGGGCTTGTTAGATGTGGGCTACCACCCCAGCAATGGGCTATTTCATTATTAAATGTACGGATAGTCACCATTGTGGTGTCCCTGATGATGTCTGGTACGTGATGACAGTGGTTGCGAGGTGCTCATCATTGTGTCCTTGATGATGCCTGGTACGTGATGACAGTGGTTATGAGGTCCTGTTAATATAAACGAAATTATTTTAAAACAATTATCTTCTTTTAAGAGATTTAAATGCCAAGGTATATAGTTTATTACTGAGTTTAAGCAAATTATTGTTGGTCCTAGAGCTGTAATATCAATGGAGGGACCCAAGAGATTGAGCTTTCCTAGCTCTCCTGCTATGCAGGGACGATACCGATAAATGATCCATAGATTTTTCCTACGGACACGTCGCTGACAAGTACTACCAACGAGGAGAGAACAGGATAGAGATTGCTGCAATTACTTTAGGCAGAATATCTCCACCACACACCCAGAACGAATATCTAAAAAACAATGAAGCAGTTCTATAATTGAGGACTAACAAGGAAAAGGCCTCTGCAATTTTATTCTCTTACAAATCGCTCAAGTGAAAGGAAATTAATTCTTTGGCTAAGCAGTATAATCACTTTCTAGGTCTGGCTTTATTGATGATTCACAAAAGTTGTAACAACACGACCGAATCCAGTTCTTTTACATTTCTGTATAGACAGAAAATATGTCTCCTACTGTGACGACAAACAAATTTATATTTGTGAATCTTTCACCCATACAGAAGGGATGAACTGCAGCTCAAGTTTACTCAAAGCCATAAACAAAAACTCTTGAAATTTCTAAAAACGCGAAGATAAACAAATCTAGGAGTGGTAAGACTGAATTCCATTGCTAGAAAATTCTCAGACTTCAAGGCTTGTGTGCTCACTATCAGATCACGAGGGCTTACAGAGGTTAATCCAAATAAAACTTATTAATACTACATGACAAGGTGGTGAGAGTTCACTGTCTTGAAAGCGTATGGTCAGCCTAGCCGAAGGTTAGACCAACACTTGTCCTGAGAGAGGCTTTATCCTTTAGCACATTAAAGTAACAGAAATCTAAAGCCACAATGTTTTATTTTTTATTAAAATTCTTGTAAATGTAAGTCTGAAATCTACTTGGAAATGAAGCTCAAATGAATTAAAATTATTAGCATAAGTTCTTATGAGATCAACCACGACTGTCATGTACAGAGAAAATGCGCTATACTTGTACTGGAAAAAGAACGGAATTCTCCCAGCCACTTTGAATGATGAGTACAATAAAGATAATTATCTTACAAGCGTGACTCTGTGATATCAGTATCTCTCTGAGGAAGTTTACTAATGTAGAGGATATAGAATTTAAGCTGATTTCATGTCTATTCTGTTTTTGAGAACTTATTATCTAACCTTACGAGATGACTTAATATTTCTAAGTGCGTAATATTGTTACTAGTTTATGTTGGATAGAGGTAGAAAGAGAACTTTTTTGGTAACTGTTTCAAACAAATACATAAGAATCTGAGATATACAAAGTACTTCATGATTGTCTAGTTGGAAAACACAAATAGGACTTAGGCTAATTTTAATTAAGTACAAATG